CGACGGAGACGATTCTTTTAATGACTAAATCGATTCCGTAAACGGTTTTTATAAACGCACAAGATTTTTAAATCCAATGCCTGCGCAGACGGAAATATCGAATCATGCGAGGCGAATCCATTGAGTTGAATGGTATAAGTATTACGGGATGGCGGTAGGGATGCAGTAAGTGCCAACAAGTATCGATAGATATCGGGATATCTCGCACCTTTGACGCTGTTGGGTATTTTACGTCTTTTTGCGAAAACGGTATGATTATAGCGCCATCTATCGGAAGCCGCTTACGGCATCCATAAAAAGAAATAGGATAATGGACTCTTTTAACGCCGCCACCGTAAGGCAATATGTGGCGGTGGGTACGGTTATATTAAATGTACCTTAAACGTACGTACTAGTATTAAATTTAAAACAATATAATTCTGTAAAATGTACGTTGAGATATATGACTAATTGTTAATTTACTGTACGATGATTTTATCTAAGACATGATCGCGACTGATTCATTGTTTATCGAAACGCCTAAGAGTCCGTCATACATGACATCATTAATGGAATCTTGTTAACTTTGAATATTCCAAAAAGCGGCTATGTAAATTAATTTGCAGCAGTTAATTGCAAAACTACATCTGTAACTTATCTTGTTAAATATGTAGCCGATTCTATTTGAGTTACTCAGACTTCCAAATTCTGCCATTCGTATGCGTACTCGCTGAGTTACTTTTTGGCATAAAAATAGTGATGCCGAATATGAAAATTAACTTGCAATAAAATCATATCACCAAGTGTTTTCTTTTTTAAAGAATAATGGTGGCAAACGAGCACACAGTGGTGAGTGGATGCTGTGGCTCATAAACATCTATATCTATCCTCGATTAAGAATCAAAACGTAGATGCCTTTACATTCCTAAGGACTAAGATGGAATGCCTCGTTTCCAGTAAAAAGTCTCCGGATCTCTACACTCACCACACGAAACACAGCAGTATTAAGCTGCTATTTTACACTGGTATTCTGTGAGAGCGTGGTCCTTCCCCGGTCGAGCCGATCCATGCGTGCTACAACCATAATATAGCTGCAGCGTGGCTCTACCACGTATAAACGTGTTATAACAATGAAGGCAAAAGGTAATTATGTAAGGATTATGAGGTACTTCACCCTTCAGTTTGTGAAGGGATCCTTTCAGTTTTTTTAGTGGTAAAGCCATGCTTGCAAAAGTTATGTTATGGCTGTAGTGCAAATAGATCGGCTCGACCGGGGAAAGAACACGGAACCGAAACGGTCTGACAGACTACCAGCGTTAAATAGCAGCTAAAGTTTGCTGTGTATCGCATGGTGAGTGTAGAGAATCTGAGACCCTTTTCACTGGAAACGAGTGTTTCCATCTCAGTCTTCAGGGATGACAACGCATCTCGATTGTTAATTGAGGATGAATGTAGATGTTCATGGGCCACAGCATCCTCTTACTATCAGGTGGACTGCGTAGTTGTTTTTCAGCCTATTTTTATAAAAAAAGGGCCCTTCCTGGAATCTATCAGCAATTATTTACATTTGGAATGAGAAAAGATGGAGGAATACACGAATCAAAATCGACAACTTTCAATTTATGTCATGTAAAAAAACGAAAGCAGTAACATTTTTTTATTATGAATTGTTTATTCATCTCGTAAATGTTAGAGTAGTTCCTGTAAAATAAATTGACGACCGTTCGCACTTGAAGGTCGATTTTGATTACAGTGATAACTTCCGAATACTGTCGGTAGCTACGTGTATACTGTGCAGGAGATATTATATAGACAGAGTATTACCATCATAGACCGTGCCATGTGGTGTACGTGCGATGTGAAAGAGCCTATTACCCATTTTGTCACGGGTGTCGTTAATGGCGACTGTGGCAAATCCAAAACAGGTCGCATGACCTATAGCCAGCGTATTAACTATCTCATTAAAGCCGCAGGCGTAAAATACCAAGACCGATAAGCGAAAAGCAGCCGCTGGAAAAGTGCGTGGCATCTATTGCTGCGACCACCGATCCACCCGCTAACCTGGTAAGCGTGGTAATTAAGGCAAATTCTCCTACCAACGAGAGAAGACCATGTCCACTGTCCAGCTTGAATGCTTTTACAAGCTGATGAAGAAGAATGAGACTATATACTAACCTAGAATATGTTATCAATGGCAACCTTAAATGCAGTCTCAGCGACCCAAGGACAACTATAACGGAAGCGAACTCAAAATATTTTATTTTCAAAAATGTTGGCTCCAAATAGGCTTCGAATAGAAAAATCCAAAGTGGAATAGTCGAGTGCTCCGATCCCTAAGTGTAGACATTGCAATATCAATTATTTAATGAAGATACAAACAAATGAATATACGTACTCGTATATTTTTAGTGTACAAATCCTATACCTTTAAACGAGCAATTCTTGTATGTGCATATATATTGTATGTATATATATATATATATATATATATATATATATATATATATATATATATATATATATATATATATATATATATATATCTCGGAAACGGCTCCAACGATTTTGATAAAATTTTGTGTCCAGGGGGTTTCGGGGGCAATAAATCGATCTAGCTAGGTTTTATTTTTAGAATATGTCTTTTTGTCCGTGTTTTCAGGCAATGAAAAACTGCTACAATATAAGAAGGTAAATTTTGACACTGTGTTAATGATCGTAACGACGACGTACCGACTTTTTTCCTTTTTTTTTCAAGTTCCCTTCTTTTGTGAGAAAATCTATTATTTCGAGCCCTCTTTTTTGAATTATTTAAAAATACGAAAATTTTAATTTAAACTAATTGCACTCATGATTTTTTATTCAAATAACCAGTTCAGTTTTTTCTATTATATCAATAAGATCAAAAAATATTATTCATGTTTCATCAGTATGTAATTTGTATCTAAATGTAATTTCAAAAAAACCGAGCAGAGCTCATCCAGGTAATATTAAATAACAAGTAACAGTCGACAAATCTTCCTCACAAGGGGAGAATACAATTTCCGGCAGTGGAATGTGCAGACTAGTGATGATGATGATGTATCTATAAATAAGAAACAATACAAACAAAAATCGCGTACAATTTGACATTTTAAAAAAGTAGTTCAGTAAGTGTCGCGTTAAGATATAGAGCGGATAGTCGTGTGATAATGAATGGTGTCAATGACCTCATATTATGATATCAATGAATTTAATTTTGTAAATGCACACAGTATGTATACAATTGAATACAATGTTTTAGCAGTAAACGCCTTTAGCTTCAAAGTTTTTGATAAAGTTAATTTAAAAAAGTATCGTTGATGTATAAAAATGACTGCTTTGGGTCAAAAAAACATACTTTTTTATGACATGAACATGATTTAGGTGATGAATTTGTTGCAATGAAATCATGAGTGGGATCGCTTAAAAATAATATCTGTATGTATATATACATACATATATATGATCGATTAGCCAATAGAGTACATTTTCACAGGAATCCTATGTAAATTACAACCAATAATTATCCTTACTTGCATGTGCTTCGATTAGATAAGTAAATTTTATATTACTATACGTAGGCATAAATAAGTAAATGAGTTAATTACAGCAGCAATGGAAGTTTACTTAGGGCCGATTTTTCAATTCCCAGAACAACAGCGTTTACTCGACAGGAAGCAAATAAATAGATTTTTCAATCGTCAGATAATGCTTTATGTGTCCTTTTGACGAAGTAATCCGCTTATTCGATAGATAGTTTAATTCGATGACAGATGCCAAACACATTTGTTTTACGTGATATTTATTGATTTTTGCATTTATTATAAAGTAAAACTTTAATGTTATTTGATATTTTAATGAAAAAGAAGATGAACAAAGCAGAAGGTGTTCAAAGCTTCCTTCGATTTTGTAAACCTTCTGTTTTTGCAGAGATTTATTTTTGTACCCATTTTAATTCTCACTTATTTCAGTTTAATTTTTTTTAATTAACCGACATTTATTGTAATTTCACAAGAAGTAACGAACTCTGTCCTATGGGACTTATTAATCGGCCGGACAGCTATTCGTGAGATAATTTTTTTTCTTTTTTGAAAATAAAGACAACCAATAATTCGACTGTTAACTGGGTCAAATAATTTTATTCGTTATTCATATGTTTTTATTTTATCTAAGGATTGAAAAATCGGCTCTGGGGCATATAAAAACTCTTCACTATTTAAATTTGGAATTTTATATCACCTTTTACCGATTAAGGTTAAACACAAAAATTCAGATAAAACACTTTTAAGTAGCCCACAAACGCCTAAATGTAATAATGTAATAATGGCATATCATCCTGTGCCTGTCATAAGAGGCGATAAAGGGAAATGAAACAGATGGGTAGTAGCACCTCCCTGATAACAAATTAAAATAATATGACAAACATCCTTATACGAGGCAATCTATGAAGGAGGCCTTTGTTCAGCAGCGGACATTTATATGGCTGTAACCACGATGATAAAAGCAGTTAAGTAGTTATTAAGCAAGTAATTTATAAAAGTGTTTAGCTATCGGTTATTCTATAGGTGGGTCTACGCTAGAAGAGCCCAGCACGAGCTGAGCATAAGCTAAGCCGCTCTACTCGCGGTGTCAAGTGTGGACGTGCAACGAGCCTACAACAATCGCACTGCGATCGCGATACAAATCTTTTTGTGTTCGTCAAAAAACCGACAATACACGGAGCACAGTCGAGCACGAAACAAACGCTCGAAGCGCGCTCGTTCGAAGCTTGTAGATCGGTCGACAATACACGAATTCGTGCTCGGCTCCTCTAACGTAGACCCACCTTATAGTTTTCAGCTATTATTTCGTGGCTAACTGGCTATATCAGCTTGAGTATATATTTTTAACATTTTAAAGTAGAGACTAAAGATATAGCTAATTTTAAAGGCTAGTGCTTCTTCCCAAATGATTGTTATAAGAAGGGCGATATAAACGAAATATTAATAACTAATGTAACATACCATTAGGCGAATAAACTCGCAAGTTAATAGGTACCGGCGAAATGCCTTTATTGCTGCCAGTCACACGATCCGTTTCTGCTTCGATCTCGCTGCGTACCTCGTTGAAATCCGTAAACTTCTTGCCCTTGCAATGAAGAAACTCTGCAAATTCTGATGAGCAGAAATAGAAGGTTAACATTCAAATTAGATTGATTAATAATTAACATGATCACTAATTAGTCACTATTTATTTAGGCAGATAAAATAAAGCTCTCTGCCAATTTCTTGGGTTATCAACAAAAAGGTTTTGCAGTAAAAACAACTTTTTGTAAAACATGTTGAAACTCCAGATAATTCAAAACAGAAAAATATTTAGTTTTACTAGAAGGAACTCTTAGTCCGGTTCCACATTTATCGTATCTCCTTTGCATGACGCAGACGTTTACCATGATCACTAATTTGGACGCAAAATTATACGCGATTATATGATACGCCGTTTTGTTACCGCATCTGATACAAGTAGTAGAGGCATGCTGCAGATATATATATATTAACTGTATAGTTGTAGCACGAATGGGTCGGCTCGACCGGGGAAGGACCACGCTCTCACAGAATACCAGCGTCAAATAGTAGCTTAATGCTGCTGTGTTTCGTATGGTGAGTGTAGAGAACCGGAGATCCTTTTTACTGGAAAAGAGGCATTCCATCTTAGTCCTCAAGGCTGACAACGCATCTTCATTTTGATTCGCAAACGAGGATAGATGCAGATGCCTATGGTCCACAGCAACCACTTACCATCAGGTGGACTGTGTGCTCGTTTGTCACCCTTTTCCTATAAAAAAAAGTGTATCAGATACGAGTTTTTATCGTCAGATCCTCGTATCGTCATACACCCCACATCAGACATAAGTTACGTGATTGGTAGTATGAACGTATTGTGAAAATGTACCACGATACGTCGATGCGATACACTACATCTCGTATCTACGCCGCGCCCCATTTTTGTCGGTATTTACCCGATCATCAAAGGAACACTTTCTTCACGGTCTTGTAATGTTTAGAGGTGGAAAAAAGATACAAGGATCGGAGGAAATTTTTAACATCCACATTTACGTTATACCGATACTCATATACTCGATACATATAGTCGACATTTATTCTTAAGATACGTTACGCCTGATCACAATATATGTCGAACGAACATTGACTTATATATTACTAGCGTAGAAATCATTGCGAACGAAATAATGAATTGTGGAACCGGCTTTATATGTTTTCAATATGACTCATTAGGGATTATTATTATTATTAACTATATTTTTTTTAATTCTGTTGGGTTTCCTGCTGGTTCTTTTCATAACAGAGGTGTTTTCCGAACCAAAATTAAAAGAAAATTGCTTTTAATAAGTATTATGTAATAATCTATAAGCACTATTGATTGTTACCAATACAATATATTTATATTTTATTGTCTTTATAATTTATTTAATTTAAAAAAATACTCTTATGAGTATAACTGTATAACCGACGATGGGAAGTGTATATAGTACAGCTACGTGAACTTGAGGCTGGAGCTGGACTAGTTGCATAATCGTAAACTGCTCCAGCCTGCGAAAATAAAGAAGCGACTTGCAGCTAGGGTACTTTTTGCATATATTGTTATTTAATAATTCAATATTGTAGGATAATAGAAATCTTTTTTTAGTCCACACAAATATATTACTCTGTTTTCTCCCATAATAATGATACTAGGCCATTGTTTTTGGTACAATCTATATTTCTTTCCCATAAATTAATTATTTTGAACTCTAATAACCTTCCCAAATTAGTAGTTTAGCCGTGTAAGGAAAAGGGGAGATCTCCCGCCGGGCAAGGTGTTCTGCCCGGGGAGCGGCCAACGCTCCGTGTGATAGTTCGGAGATGTTCTATATATACTGTTTATGATTCGGAATGTTGATAGCGTGATTTAGGCTTCGGTGTATTTCGCTTGTGGCGCGACGACAGCGCCGCCACAGTAGTATTACCTATATATATAATGCATTTATCAGATATCCAGCAAATTAACTAACCCAACATTTTATTTCTATAAAAGGAAAACATACAGACATAGCCAAAATTATTTTTATATTGATTTTGAAATGAAAATTAAAATCGGTCCACTTTTGGGCGAAACAGGGAAATAAACTGGATGATTTCATCAATTTTTGCAAAGGTATAACGAATCCGGGTGACAATTATCTGCACAGCTCACAGCACAATAACGATAGACAGTACAATGAAAATGTTATTCTTCAAATTTCTTGCAGCCCTGATATCACCAAAATTGCTTCATAAAGATACTTCCGAGGTCAATGTTCAGCAGTGCACTTGTGATGAGCTCTAATAATAATGGTGATGATGATAAAAATACTACATAATATTAATTATTTATCTTAAATAAATAGGTCTTTACCTATGAAATTGCCATTTTACAGTGCTGGTCATTTCAAATTAAAATAATTTTTAATTGGCTAAGAATTCTAATTTTAAATTTATTTTATTTTAAAAACATGGAATTCTTTTTCAATATTAATCATTTGTTTACTGATTGGCGTTATGTTTTAATCGCATTTGAAACTTTTTCGCTATCATGGATACGTTAAAAAGTCGAGCAATTTTTTTATTATCAAAAAAATAATCATTCCTTTTTTATAATTCCTTTTTTATTATCAAAAAAGATCGAGTAATTATGACACATGAATAAAGTCGTTGTAGCAACGCGGCACAAGCGGCACGCAACATCAACGACGTTTACGGAGTGAATACTACAAACGAACGCACCCACCTGTTATTGGTTTTACCGCTTCTATTCTGGAAATTTCGATCTGAAAAATGAACCCCGTGGTCGTCCGAAATCTTTGGGGTCGACAACGACGAATTAAAGGCGATTGTGGAAGATTGCAGCAGCTTTCGACGTTAGGACCAAAACAATATTGGATCAATGGCTTCAAATTGGCAAGACAAAAAAGCTAAACAAATGGGTGCCACATGAATTCAACGATCGCCAGCGCGAAGTACGCGTGGAGACGTGCCTTGCACTGCTCAACAAGTACACAAACCAAGGAATTTTGAACCGCATTGTCACCTGCGACGGAAAATGGTTTCTGTTTGACAATTCCAAATGCTAAGCAAATTAATTGAATCCTGGTTCAGCACCTAAATAATGCCCTAAACAAAAACTTACCCCTAGAAAAGTGATGGTCATTGTCTGGTGATCCAGTGACGGTGTGATTTATCACAGCTTCTTACCAAACGGGATGATCATTACTGTGTACTTTGAAGAACAGAAAACAATGACAAAGAAGCTTGCATGTCTCCAACCAGATTTGGTCAATCACTCGTCCCCGCTGCTCCCGCACGACAACGCGCGACTTCATACTGCACAACAGACGGTCTCCACGTTACAAGAGCTGGGGTTGGCAGCTCTCCGTTATCCTCCATACTCAATAGACCTTGCGACCACAGACTTCTACTTTTTCCAGGATTTGGATAACTTTGGCGGAAAACAATTCAATACCTGATTGATTACTTTGATCAATAAGAATAAAAAATATAGAAAAAAAATTATGTTTACTTATTTCATAAAGAATGAATATTCCATAGGTAAAGATCTAATAATTTTACACCACAGTATGTTACAACAATTATTATGTTTATGAAAATAATTGTCAGCAATTTAAAACCATTAAGCAAATGTAAGTTCCTTTCAAATTTACAGAATAGTAATCATGGTACATAACATAACCTAGCTCATGAAGTCATCATAACAAAAACATACTAAGTGTACATTACCTGCTTCTTTAGAATTCAAGTATTATGTAGTAGTGTTAACTTAAGATCACATAGGTATATAGCATAAGATATAACATAAGATTATGTCAGTTTCCAAAAAAAATACTTGACCTTTTTTATTTGTTATTTTTTATATTTGTTATTAATGAATAATAAAAATATGTTGAAAGCAGATAACATTTATTTCTTTAAATTTTATTGGCTTTCAATATAATTTATTTATCAATTACCATGGTTTTTATTTTGCATAAATTTATTTATATTCTACTAAAAATATTATTTATTAACAAAAACATTATTTTAAGGATATCGTAAAGTTCAACTAAGGAGAAATGCCCTAGAATTCTTATGGTCTCCAGGTATGTGGTTGCCAGTGTAACCTTCATTATATAGAAAAACATACAGAGTGCAAATGGAGAGAAATATGATACAATTGAAAACACATTTTACACATACCTGCATTTCCATGTATAAGTTGAAGAATTAAAGGTCTCCGTGTTACTATTCCAGATCCTCGAGGTAAGAAGTCCCTGAAGCAAATTAATACAATTATAATTTGAAATTTACATTGTGATTGTTTCTAGTTGTTTAATATTGGCTCTGAAAAAAATAATCTAAATTAGGAGGGGAAGAACATAAAATGATTAATAAACAAAAATTATTTGAAACAACTATTACACTGATATAAAATATGTATTTATGTAACAAAATGTTTATGAAAAAGCTATTTATTTAATCATCAATTTAATGATAACAACAGCCTTCATATAGTACGCAAAAAATATTTACAACTCCTTATCACTTCAATTCATTAAACAAACTTGCAAATTCATCAATGAATGGATAACAAGATGCCTGGACTACTTCCATTGTGAGTGAATAAACAAAAAAAAAAAACAAAACAAAAAGTTGATTGCCAAACAAATTACACTGACAATGTTGATGACTCATATGTATGTGATATGGTCTCACTGAGCAGGAAACAGCAATATTACTTTGATATACACACAGTGTTAATTTAACATGAATTATATATAAATATTTGACTTATATCTTTTTAAGTTAACAAATGTGTAATAAATTAGATACACATATTATGATTTCTTTTTTAAATAAATCTATTGTGATCACAAACTCTAGTCACATAATAAGTAATAATACTAAATACAGAAGTTGCACTCCTTTTATGTTTACTACTATTATTAGTTAGATAAATCATGCATGCAAGCTAAATTAAACCTTTTCCTTTCATTAGTGTCCATATGGCTTTGCATCATTTCCCCTAGGATATTTCATAGTCACCAAGGGCTTTCAACAAAGGGTGAAAAATACATGGCATATATAAAGTACCTTTTGATTATTTATTTCATTTACAACTGTTCTAATTTAATATAATGTCTTATATTTTTTAGTCTCTAAACTATCGGTTATTAAATTTAAGAGTGGAAAATCTCTAAATCTAATATATTATTTCAAATAAATAATTGGAGGGTAAATATTGACACACAGTAATAAAATTAATATTCCTTAATAATTTTTGGAAATTATTTGCTGGTTTTATATTTATTATTTTTTCAAGATTATTAATGAATGTATTTTCTATAACATACCATTAAAACATAAAAACTATTTTATCATATAACAAAGTATACCAAAAAATAAACAAGACTATTTATACAAGTATTTGCAAAAAATATATTTCCATAAAATGTTTAAAAAAAACTTTGAAATTCACTAGTATATAGCTTGCCTAAAAGGCGCTAGCGCTGACCGCATATGCAACCTGAGGTTCTGTGTGATTTGTAGGCATTTACTTGGGCCTGCTCTAGTCCCAAATTTGATGACTTAATAAATCAAATTTGTAAATTGCTGTTCTCATTGCATATTAAAAAAATTATTACATTACATTAGAGTACTGGATGATTAAGTAAAATAAAAAAATAAAATGTCACAATTTATTTAAATTTATATAGACATTATTTTTCATCATTAGAATGTAAAGTCCAATGGACTAAAGGACTGTTTAGTGGTGTTTGCTCAAGAACTTCATCCCCTCCCCTTACATGACAAAGTGCAGGTACTATGGGCTCCCAAATAGCTAAGAGTAGAAGCAACAGAGGTTGGCCGATTCAATTTTGTGCCAGTTTTTAACCTACAAATATGATAGGGATATTTGATTATATTCAAATTTGTACAATGAAATTGTTTGTCCCTTGACATTTTTGTCAGTGATATGTATACCTAGACTCCATTCATATTTTAAAGTGGCTTGGCTTATTATATGTTATAGTTGCAGCATGGCTTACCACTAACTACCAGGAATAACTACCTACTGGTGATTACAGTTAATAAATTATGTTATTAATTACATGTTCATAAATCCACATTAGACCATACCACTTGACAATAATGGCATGAGCTGTGGTAACTCTGGAGCTAAGCACTTGCCATAAAGTAAAGTAAACTTGTCCGGGTTCAGGACAGTGACAATATAATATCTTAAAATTTAATACAATGTAGTAATGAAAAAATAACATTGTTTAGAAAAAGCTTTTCTGTAAATTTAACGGTATGAGAGAGCAACCTGGGTTCGATCCCCACCAGCACCAATGAAATTGTTATCTACATGTGTCACCATTTATTATCAAAAGAATGCTTAGGACATGCCTTTACTGATGTCTAATGTGAATGTTGAATATAGCTTATTTTGAAAATTTTATAACCTTTAATTTAAACTTTTTTAATTTAAGTTTCAGGCACTTTACAACACCCATAGTCATGGTGGCCCGTGATGTCATAGTAAACATATAAAACTATTATATTGAACTGATATAAATTATATTTTACGAATTATAATATTTTGTAAAATATGTTATATATTTACATAATCTAATAAACAAAATAACTTTACCTATTTCATAAAAAACATATATTTTTTTTATTTTTTATTAGAATTACTCCACTCTACACCACACTCCACAGGTAAATCTCACGACTATCTTCTATATTATGTAAATTGTGTTGGTTTGATTTTATTTAAACTTTATTTTTTCATTTTAGAGCATTTAAAAAAGGAATCATTAAACACAATTGTTAAGAAACACCTAATTTTATTTCAAAAAGGAAAAATATATTGTGTACATGAAAAGTGGTATAAGTCACATGCCACAAAACCAATGTAGAAAAGGAGATTAAAGGGAAATCACTACATATTTCTGAAGAAAACTTTACTGTTTTGTGTCCTAATAGCAAAAAATACCACAGCCAAATTTAGTGGACCTGAAGTCCATGTTTCATTATATTCCAAAAGACTGTTTACACTTTTACAAGTCTTTACAGGGAGTCAAAAACATTGTGGATGATCTATAAGGATTTGGTAGGAAACATTAAATTAGTTGTAAGAGTGATTGTCATTATTGCATATTAAACTTATTTTATTTTAGTATTATTAAATAATTAGATATGATGGCAAAAGTATAATAAATTTTAGGTTAATTACTTAGTTTTTATTTAAAAAAAAAAAGTTTTTATAACAATTTATACTGAGGAGCCTTAGGCTACGGTCTCCTATTAAATGCTATAAGCGACGTCCGACTTCAGCGTAAACGTTCCGATCGGCGTCTGAACACCAGGCACAGCGTCAATGGTCAATACATATCTTAGCAACGGACGATGTCCAAACTTTCGATCAACAACAGTTAAGTAGCCGACAGTGCTCACGTGTGTTTGTGTGTGATATTTGTACATAAAATGAATATAAAGCAAAAGACGACCATATACGAAGAAAAATAAAGGCAACAAGGCACTAATTATTTATGAAGTGATATTTCCAGCTATTGATAATGAAACACTTAAAGACAGTAATTCTAAATTAACTGAATATTTTCGTATTAATCAAGAAAAATTTAAACATAATAATAAATCAATAACTCGTCTTTTTGTTTATTAAATTTTTGTCATTTTGGACTGACGCTAGACACAACCTTCACACTGCAATGGTTCGAGATAACTAGAGACGCAGCGAGAAGCGTCTTAACGCCGCCTACGACGTCCATACGCCGCCATCAGCTTGTGAAAGAGACCACAACAATGCATTTCTATAGTAAGCATTGTAACGCGGCGTACGGCGTGACGCTGTAAGCGGCCGATGGCGTTTATAGGAGACCACCGCCATACTGCGAAAAACAGCTTTACTGGTCTTATCAAAAGTACTATTTAAATTAAAAAGGATCCAAACCCATTTTCTCTTGAATATCATTATAAATATGAATAAAAACCTAATGATATATTCTTAATTTAAAAATTGTGTGTGTCTTTATATTATGTACCCAAATATTACTGATAATTTCTAAATACATGCATGCCTGTGAAATAGATATTGGGAACATGTGAACAACAATACTCACTGGATCAGTGCTGCAGACTAATTGCTCTAAATTCTTCTCAAAATTAAAGCAAAACTGTGCCTAGCAGTGGGACCAATAGAGGCTGTTAAAATTTCGTTTCTTTTACCTACTGATCTTTACTTGATGAATAATAATATAATTTAGTTATTATTAGTACTACACTAATTCCAAAATCCAGTTTATCAAAAGTTTAAATATTGAATTTTAATGAATGCCTTAATTCATGGAAATGAATTTACTTAATTTTAATTAAAGTATAATTCCCCATAAATAACATTTACGTTTATTAATTTTCGACTATAACTAATAACACAAGCAATTATTAAGTTAGACAATTTTTTTTGATATCAGAATCTACCAATGAAAATAACAAAGAGCGAAGTTGTTAAGGATTAAACCAACTTTCCTAAGCCTATAAGATACGACTTCTAACAATGCATCATATTGTTTTGAAGTCGAAACTCCTCGTTTATCATAATGCCTTGAAAGGAAATTCTTTTATTGTTTAGGAATCAAATATAAAACATTTCTTACGCTTACGCCGACAAAACAATGCATCAATCACCTTAGTGACATAAAATTTTAAGGGCTTACCTGCCGACAAAATTTTCTAACACCGAACTTTTTCCTGCAGATTGACCACCCACAACTGCAATTTGTGGAAGATCTAAAGACATGTGCACGCCCATTTGCACGAATGCATCTTGTAATTTATTTACAATAGGTATTAATTGTTGCATTCCATAATTCCCAGCCATTTTATCAAAAAATTATAATTAATTTTTTCTAGCACAAATTCACTATAACTTGTTCATCCTCTTGTACATCACATCATAGATAAACTAATTTATTTTTCAATATGGTGGAAGTTGTCAGTAAGTGGTTATGGTTTTAGAGCCAACACTCCGTTTTACGTATCATTAGTTTTTAAATGTGTATGTATTTATTTTTATTTAATTTATAAAGAAGTACCTATGTTGCGAAAGATTATTATACCCTATAAATTTAAGAAATCATTAAGTTAACAAATAATAACAACCATAAATTAAATATGATCATAATAAATTTATAATTATTTTGAATAATAACAAAAGTCACTCTCCTACAGCCATGTTTGATCAATACTATTTGACATGCGCACCATATTTAGGCCACCATTTTCATTATTATCTATCTGAAATTACAAATATTTCCTTTTTTATTCTTTTCAACATTATATAATAAATCTCTTTGCCAACAAATTAAATGAAATAGTAGTATTTTATTTTCAAATAAGTACGTGACCAATTTTTGACAAAATAAAGAATTTTTCACCTCACATTCGAGTACGATATTAACTATTATTTAAACTGCGAAGGCTTTACATGTATATATATTTCTAGTTATTCATTATAAAATATTTTTACGTAATAAGAATGTAGAGATTGCCACAAAAATGGTTATTACATAATTGTAGCTTATTTTTACACTGAGTAAAACTAGTATAACTATGTTATAATGGTAATTTTATTATTATTGATACTTACTTGCCAACAAAATTTTCCAATACAGAACTTTTACCAGCGGACTGACCACCTACTACTGCTATTTGTGGTAGGTCTAACTGCATATGCACACCCAGTTGCGTAAAGGCATCTTGCAGTTTATTGACAATTGGAATCAATTGCTCCATTCCTATGTTCCCGGTCATGGCTGCCGGTTTTCTGAAACACTTCTGGTTTTATGATGTGCTCCGCAGATCTTCGACTAGTGATTTTTAGGTTCATCAATATATTGTAGCCTTATTCTGCGCAAGCGTAAACGAATGGTTAAATATAATACAAATTATATAGGTATCTATATTTTCCAGCAGTTTTTACGCCGGCTGTACACACTTATAGAGACATCACTGGCCGAAAACCAGTGTATACATGGTACCTACTCTCGTTCTGTCTGAATGCTCACTGCTTGCTTAACCTTACCCCTTATTAAGTGCTTGTCAGCTTTTTTGGCACCCAAGCTTGATTCCAAGGTTTTCGTTAGCTCTAGCTCTAATGTCGCTCTCACTCAATTAGTTGTTCGGTAACCCTGTTTTTGCGACGGTTTACTAAGTTTTATAGCAGTATGGTGACTTAGTTATTCTTTTTATTATTATTATGTGTGGAGAAATAAAGCAAAAATAATAATATTATTCACCAGTTCCGTCATGGCAGGTACTGGCAGTTCAACTTATACGCCTTATGAATTTATGGTGTGTTCTGGCTGAGAATATAGATATATTAATGTAATTAGAACGCTCATATCTTCACCTGTACCAGGCGTAATAGACTTTTGTAAAACGACAGCTCTTGCTACAGCTGCAGCAAGGAATATACCACTCTCTGCAGCAGCTATGCATCTTGCTTATTCAAATTTTGTAATTGTATCCCATACAAGTTATACGCAACCCAAAATATGATTATTATAGAAAATACCTATAAATTAAAATTACAGTGAAAATAATTGGAAGAAAGCTTATTTGTTTTGTTAAAACGCTGATCCCCTGCGATGAATCTTTGACTTTGATTTTAGCTTTGTGATTATAATTATTGGTGCCATAAAGTTGGCTATGTTTTCATGATCCAACTTGTTCATCACAAATCATCATTTTGTCAATCAATATCGACTTCGCTGTACAAAATCTAACCACACTATGTGAGCTCGTGCAAGAGTACAGTCCTTATGTGTCACTTCGCTTTTTTCCTTGCGCTCGCACCCAAAACACCAAGAGCGAGTGTAAGATATAATATTTGTATAATTTTCATCAATAAACAAATGCTGTTAAGATCTAACAATATTTTATTGTTTTTTAATTGATTTTAAATATCCGAGTACTATGTATCACCCACTAGTTGTGGGGATACAGATGTTTTTGCCGTTATCGTTTCATATTTAACCTAGGCATTCGACGGAATGAGGATAAGACGAGCTGTAAAAATGTGGGCCTTCCCCACAGGGAGAATAGCGACGTCAAATAGCATCATAATGCTACCGTGTTTCGTATGGTTGTAACGAGAACCAGCGACCCCTCTTACCGGTTCGTTACCGGTATATGACCTTTCATCTTAGTCTTAGTCGAACGTGTTGACGTCTATACATATTCGCATGGGCAGCATTCACTTATTGTCAAAATAGAATAGAAAAAAGGGAATAGCTTAGAATAGATTCCAATATTTTACAATAGAATTGAATAGAATAGAATAGACAAGATAAAATAAAACAATTACAACATACCAGATTAGAATAGAATGAGTACGTATATTTTATAAGTACTGATTTACTACATGCTAAAACCTGATCCGGAAACAAAATTTATTTCGGGAATATCTAAAGTCCGTCTAAGGCATTGTAGTAGCTCCATGTACTTTAAATTTCGTATATATTTTTTTAATGTTACTACTTCGTTTATTTTTGTAACTTAAAGAGTTTAAAATATATTACAAAAATTATAATAATGAAAATAATAATTAAAATTATAATATTTACGATTAAAACTAATTATATACAATTATAATTTTCAATAAAATCCGGATTGAATGAAAGATTAATAAAAGTGCTTTTTTTATTTGAATTATTTTGAACGCACATATTATTTGCTTGCCAATTTTTCCAATAGAGAGCGCTTTGTTGCGTCTTTGTGACGTCACGCTATTGATTGTGAAGGAAGGAGATCGTCTTTTGGCGACGCCATCTTAAAATAAAGTGATATAAGTTTTGGTAGCGTAGAATATACAAAAAAATCTTAAGTAATCTCCTTATAATATATTTGCATTTGAGCTAAAACGTTTTTTAATTTGTAATATTTGGTATAACGGACCAAGGTACATATATATTTTTCTTTTGTTGTTTCATTTACTAATAAAAATAGTTTATTTACCGTTCTCCAACTAGTATTGAGTTTGTACCGTTATTATGGTCTAAATCATAGTTTCTAGGACAGATTTATCTGGCAAAAATGTTTAATTTTTGATACTAGAAAACTTGGTAGCCATCGATCCAGCGTCTGGTCAGCCTACGGATGTAACACGTCAATATACTTAGAAGGGCAGTGCTTAAAACTGTGTCTAAAATCTAGCTGTGAAAGTGATATTAGTGGTGTATCGTTTTGTAAATAAATTTCCGAGTTTTTACTATGCAACGAAATAGAAAAGTATTTATGAAGTGTAATCGTGCAGTGAAAAATAATTGATTATTAGACATTCATTTTGAAGGACAGTTCTTTGTGGAGACAGTTGTGTCGGTAACAATGGGAAATATAGTGATAACTACCGATTGCATTACTTGCAGTTGGTGGTCGGTGAGAGGGTGATCTCCTGATGGTGTGTACATCGCAGCATGTCTGCACTCTCGACGCCGGGCGGCGGAGGAACTACGGCGCAGAGCAAGCCGACGTCCGGCAAGCAAAAATATCAAAAGTTGGACATCAATAGTTTATACTGCGCCAACAGAGTAAGTTTTCTATCCACCTCTTATTCCTGTGTTCATGTCAATAAATGTTAAATAAATAACTCCCTTTTGAAAAGCATAAATTTATTTTTCTACAATTTGATCAGTAAATTATATAAAGCTATGTAAATTTAGAATTATTTTATTTTCATAAAGTTCACATCTTTAATCTAAACTGATAGAATCTGCCCTAGTTTTTGACACTCACATTAAATTGATTATAATATCCAATCCTTTAGAATAATTTGTACTGTATATATAAAAACACTACTATTTTTAATGAAAATTGTTCTATGGGAAACTTGGTATGATACCATATTTAGTGAATAATATAAAAAAAATTAAGTCATTAATTTGTTTTGCTTATTGGAACAAGCAAACAATAGTCTAATGGTATATATAATTATATGCAGAAGGATTGGTGGCATATTTATACATTAATATGAAATTTTATATATAAATTCTTATCATATAATGTATATTTCTTACTAGATAAAAAATTAGAAGAATAATGGGGTTTCCTTAGATGTCCGACATTGATTTTAATAATATTTTTAGTTTAGGAGGCTTGTTAGAGTTAAACTTGAACCTATTACACTGTTTTTAGATGTTGGAAATGCATTTGGAATTAATAATGATAGAAATAAATTTCGCTAAAAATTGCTTAAAACAAAACACAAATCTGTCAATTTGGTCTAGTATTATGAATATAGATAGGATATTTGGATGCATTTTTACCTAAAATTGAGATCTTGGCTATTATGGAAAGCAATTATGTATCGAAAATATCGTGAAATTCCAGGAAATTCAAATTTAAGTGTTTACTTCGTGAGATGTAAAACCCTCTTTGACACAAATGACAGTTACACTGTTACAACATAATGGGTATGTTTGGCAGAAAAAAGCGCTAGCAAGCACTTGTAAGCAAAATGGCAATCGTAAGCGGTAAGCGCTGTCAAATCGTAAGTAGCTATTTTCCTCCAGGACACAATGTTAGTTTTAACCGGGGAACCTAACCTAATTTAAATATATGTTTGTAAAGTATTCATATTAAAAACTTACCAATAATGAATTTTTAATAACATGTATATGTCTATTCATGTCATAATATTACTTAAAACTAATATTGCACAAAACAACTTATAAACTCTACTTCAAAACAAACAAATTAAAATAAGCAAAATGGCGGATTGTGTCAGCCTCAATCGTGTCCTGGCCGAAAACTATTTTAGCGCTTGTAAGTGCTTGCTAGCGGTTTTTTCTGCCAAATGCACCCAATATATATGCAAAAACA